ATGAATGTAAACGGCGAAGCGAACAGTCTGTTCTGTCGTGTCGAGTGGGTGCTGCTTTTAAGCTAGTGCCGCGTTCTACAGGACGTTAAGTGAATAAAGGTTAAAATCATTCACAATTACAGGAAAACGCACGCCAATAAAAACTCACTTACACGTCGTCGTTTCGAATCCTATGATCGAAAAACGCGAAGTGAAAATGTGTCTCGGTGTCGTCTTTCCGTAGCATCGGGTGGGCGTTGCGTTTAATTCAGCTCCCGCGGCATGACGTCTCAATCCGGGTTACGGGTAGTGGAATTTCCGCTTACGTAAGTTCCGGTAACATGTAATATCGTAGTCAAAACGTTAATGCACAGGCTTTTGTTCCGGGTGAAGGATATTCCTTTTCATAGAATTCCGGGGATGGGAATATTTACTGTACTGTGAAGGTAGACATCGTCAGTCTGGTGAGTCTGTCAGTGTGCCGTCATCATTATTTCAGGCCGGCCCATTCCGTCCGAGTTGTCGGCGACAGCCAAACAGTGTCACGAATGGACTTACCGGTACTACGTCACACGCAGGTGCCGCGCACCTGAAACAAAATTTTAAATAAAATGATTTTGTATACCTTTCAATCAAAAATACATCAATGACATGTGTCTCACATTGTTTCTATTTCATCAATCACCATAATGTGTGTGTGTGTGTGTGTGTGTGTGTGTGTGTGTGTGTGTGTGTGTGTGTGTGTGTGTGTGTGTGTGCCGGTCATTTTAATTTTTTATATTTTCGTTATTTGGTTGCATGTTGTCTTGTGCGGTGCCTGTGAAGTTACACTCTCCACGCCAAGATGGCCTGCTTTTTTGGGGTGTGGGGCGGGCGGGTGGTAAAACAATGTATAGTAATTTAAGGGATACACTGAAAAAAACAAATAAAAAAGACTCGTTTTTAAATCTGACTGAAGCTGACAATTTTGTAAACACTGCCCTTGTTATTAGCAACACACACCCACACACACAAAAAAGTCTTGTACCTTCTCTTACTGTCTCAGCCTTATATTTGATATCGATGGCATTCAAGAGGGCGGCCCGGTGGTCGAGTGCTTAGCGCGTCAACCTCACAGTGCAGCGGTCGCGGGTTTGATCCCGGCTGCGGCCTTCCTGTGTGGAGTTTCCATGTTCTCCCTGTGCCTGCGTGGGTTTCCATGTTCTCCCTGTGCCTGCGTGGGTTTTTTCCGGGTACTCAGGTTTTCTCCCACATTCCAAAAACATGCATGGCAGGCTGATTGAACACTCAAAATTGTCCCTCGGTGTGAGTATGGACGCGGCTGTTTGTACGTCTCTGTGTGCCCTGCAATTGACTGGCAAGTGGCTCAGGGTGTCCACTGCCTCCTGCCCGTAGACAGTTGGGATAGGCTCCAGCACCCCCCGCAACCCTTGTGAGGATAAAGTGGATCAGAAAATGGATGGATGGATGGCATTCAAGAGTTTCAAAAAAATAAATGTGGTGGTTGAATGTTATGCTGGTTGAATTTGTGATCTTTCTGAGAATGTGACAGGTGCTCAAATAAACTTGTTTAGCACTGTTCACTTTAACCATTTGAGGGGGGGCGTGTTATAAACTCCGCCCTCCAAACTGAACCTCCTGCCACCCCCTCGCCATTCCAGTTAAAACTTTCTAGAACCGCCAGCGTCCATACTGTATGTACCTCTTTGTGTGAAATAGGAAGCAGGAAGGAATGCTTGCTCGTGAGCCTTAGTGTGTTATTTCTGTATTGAGTCACAAAACTCTTACAAGCCTCAGTCATGGTGCTATTTCTGCCTGTGGCCTGGGGTCACGAAATTAAACTCTTGCAAAATAAGTCACCCCTTTTCTTTTGGCTTGAGGCTCTTTGTAAATTTACTTGAATTACAGACACATGATGCTGGGTACTGTCAACACTAAGGTTTACTCAAACAACCAAAGGTAAACAAATAGTGGAAATCTAAAAACAAGATCGTTAAAATTGAGTCAAATGTCTCAGGCCGATACATTGCAAATCAGCAGTGAAAGTAAACTTTCCTCAGAAAGGAAATCCTAAAGAAGCTGTGCAAGCAAAACAAGCGTGGTTCAGCCAGATTTCAACTAGTTAAAAGAAAACAAAGTCATGAATGCACAAGCACCTTAAACTTAGTCTAAAACTGCACACTTTGACCATCATGCCTGTATGGCAGAGAATACATAACAGTGAGTGTGTTGCTACAGCGACCCACTATAAATAGTCAACACTACTGTCACATTCCTAGGGTTGATGGGGAGACTAGGTCATGGCAGAGGGGGGCGGGAGTCTGGCCGCTAAGACACAGTGAGATGTCACCAAGCTGCCAGGAACCTTCATAAATCAGCAGCACACAGTAAAATCTGCCTGGAAATATCTGGATTAGGACCTCCGAATTGGACACTTGAAAATCAATCTGGTAGTTTATTTTGAATGCGTAGCTCTCTTATGACAACTGTGCAAGGACTAAGCCAATTCATATCAGCCAAAATTAAGAAGGCATTTTGCCCAATAAGCTGTTTTTTTTTTTTAAATCAAGCAGAGATTTTAGCAAACAGATACGAGCCATTGTTAGAGAGAGAGAGAGAGAGAGAGAGAGAGAGAGAGAGAGAGAGAGAGAGAGAGAGGGAGAGAGGGATATGATTGCTCCTGATGAGCGAAAGCTTGTATGATCCACTCCATGCAACATAGCGGCCCAAACAGTCCATAAAGCAGGCCGACCAATCGGGAAAATTCACACCGCCCAAGGTTATTCACTCTGCGACTGGCTTCGTCCACCAAAACCACTTTATAGTAGTTGCTGATTTTGAAATGAACCTGCGGGCTGAAATAGCGTCCCCTGTAGGCCCACTGGGAAATTAACATGATGTCCAGACGTCCCAAACCGGGCTAGCACACACACATTCACACTCTAAATTCGGTTTTAATTTCGGCACTCCCTGGTTAGTTTTATGCATATCACGAGAATAACAGCTTAATGTTGAGCATTAACCAAGTGTGCAGCATATGCAATAACAATTTTTGATGACTACTGCAAACGATTATTTTGCTAGTCAACTCGTCATTGATAGTAGTCACAATTAATTGACTAATCGGATCGTGTAAATTGCAGCACATTGCTCCAGTAAACAAGTGATATTATATAACTGTCATTATCTTACAGCCCCAAATCTTTAAGGTTTGTCCAAATTTATAATAAAGACAATTAAAATGATAGTACATTCAATTTGAATAAAACTTTGCAGCTTGTACCAGCATTCCAACATGTTTATAAATAATGCTGCAACTTACATCCACAACCAACCATCCACGCTCACACTCACACCTCGGGACAATTTAGAGCGTTCCCTTGACCTGCCATGCACGTTTTTTTGGAATGTGTGAGGAAACCGGAGTCCCCGGAGAAAACCCAGGCAGGCCCGGGGAGAACATGCAAACTCTACACAGGGAGGCCGGAGCCGGAATCAAACCCTGCACCTCTGCACTGTGAGGTCGACGCACTAACCACTGGACTACCAGGCGGCCCCTTAGCACAACATCCTGTGCAAATTAACCACATGTACGCAACATACTCAGATTTTTACACTTTTGAGAAAGAGGACTGCCTTTCATTAGCTCAGTTTTGTGTAAGACATTTAAGGTTAGCTGTCATAGTTTATTATATCTGATTGTGCGGATCAGATCAGCCAAAGTAGAACTTTGACATCATGACATTTTCTGTCTGCCGAGAGAGACCAAACTAAAGAATGGCACCCTAATCAGCGTAAATGATGTCATGATGCTTTTGATATTAATAGAGTGGAAATCAACTGCACCCTTTTATCAGTACAATGGTTAGTCATAGGCTCATTAAAGGAATCTCATTGGACTGAGTCAAAAATTTGAAGAAATATCGAAACAACGCTCACATTAGCAGGGGACCTGCTTATATGAGGCTCAAGTCAAAGTTGTTGCCTTCTCACTGTAATCATGTGCTTCTGAACTGGTGAAGTACCATAGACAAGAGGCATGGCCTCTGAAAACCACTAACCATCTGTGTAAGGTCTCACAGCATATTTTCAAATTTCTATCTTTGCTCTTCCGTCCTCCGAACCCACTAACATTCATCCCATGGTGCATTATTTCCCCACTTCTTCCACCTTCTCTTCCTGCCACTCCTTCATTCTCATCATTCCTCTTTAAAAAAAAAAAAAAAAAAACAATTCCTGTCTCCCATCTGGCTCTCATCTTTCTTTTCCTTTCATCCATTCCAAACAACTGACCACTTTCACCACTGTCATTCCTTCTCCGTGTCCTTGCATTCCTTTTCCTGCATGTGTTTGGGTCTCTTCAGCTGGAAACCAAAGGTGGCTGGAGATCAGCAAGTGGAGGTGTCCAGTGTGCAGCAGGTTCTTACGCAGTGGCTAAACAAGCTCATTGTGAAAAGCAGAGTGAGACGTCAACGCTCCATCAGGACAAGGAGGAACAACGGAAACTTCTGGCAGACACACACTCAACCACCATGGAGCTGCGCTGTCGCCTGGAGCACAATGAGAAGAATTGGTTGAAGGAGAAAGCCGAGCTACTGGAGAGATTTGACATCGAAAGGAGTGAATGGGAGAGCCAACTGAAAGATATGCAAAAGAAAATAGAAGAGGTATGTTAAACATTTGTTCAGATTAGTGTCCGACAGCGTTGGGTTGAAGAAGATTGATGATGCACTGCAGGATTTCTTGTGCGGGCTGCGTTTAATCGTCTCAATCACAAGACCTGACAAAAACAGCAGAAAACAATGTCCTCCCGTCAATTATAGTGATGCGGGGTGCCCCACCCCATCGACACCAAGAGGAAAAGGGAGAGTGAAAGGTGTGAGTTCAACTTCAAAGTAGCAGTGCCACATTAATCCTTTCAGGGACAGCGGTCACTCCAGTGGCCAGCTTATCGTGTTAACAGGTTACAGGTTATTATTATTGGTGCATGAAAGGGTTAATTATTGAAGTTTTGTTCCACCCTTTGATAATGGAGGCGATAGTAAAAGAACACATCAGGTATTGATCATTTCACAGATTTTGCGTAATTATAATACAGTACAGTAAGTTTTTTACTGGCCCCGTTACATTAGCATTAAAAAGGAAAGGGTGTTGTGGAGAAGGAGGGCCACTACAATTCCGCTCTGTCACTCAGTACGCTGTTTGTGACAAGTGCAGCTGTAACTGGGATGCATGCATGAGAAAATCTCGAGTGAATGAAAATTGAATTTCAGTGTTATAAATTAAAAATTAAGCATTTTAATGAATTCCCGCCATTTTTACTGGAGCAAAACCCTCAATCCTAGCCGATTTACTGGACCCACGGATTATTGTATTCTATTGTGATATAAACATGCAGCCTACCAAAAGAAAGACGAGGCTCTCTTCTTTCAGCTGATAAAAAGTTTCTTTCTGTCTTTTTTTGTTCTTTAGCAATCATCTTGAGAAAACAGCTAAATGTAATCAGATTTCCAACTTCTGAGGATAAAACAAAAAAAAAAAGACCTTTTTGCAAAAGCATGCATTTCAAGCATAAATTCAAGTATAGCACTGCTATTTTTTGCTTTTGTGACATCTCAAACAGCTAAATAAGACTTTCCTTCCACAAAACAACATAAACAATACCACAAAAGGGCTTTTGATATCAAAAATATCTATTGAACTGTTGAAATGAACCATGAACAGAAGTGAAATAATGAGTTCAGTGAGTGTGTGCACGTGCATGCTTGCGTGTCTAAGTGCACGGTAGGTGCACGTGCGTGCGTGTGCAAGTGCACATATTTTTTGTGTGATACAAAATGAAACAATTGCCCTGATACAAGGGCACACACGTCTTACACCGCATTCTGGTTTCACTTTGCCAAGGCACCTTCGCTGCAGTTTGGCTTTTGCCTGGGGTAGACGATGTTCGTGCACAAAGAGCCTCTTTTGATAGCTGCTTGTTACTTTTGTGCCGACGAAAGCGTCCTGCCGCTTTCAGCGACTCCCATCTCCCCGTCATGGTGGAAGATCTCCCCCAAAAGCTATCCGCACGGGTTAATTGTTTTGATTTCTCCATCGCTACTAGTTTGAATGGACTCTCTACTATTGACACTAGACGACTCAAGGCTAGCCCCCCCCCTACTTGTTTTGCAGCATGATCCTGGCTGATCCCTAAACACCCACTGCCACCGGCTGGACAGATTATTAATTATTTACAAATGCAGACAAGCCCGATCCTCAGTCAGAGGCTCCGTCAGACTCGTCTGCATTGTACAACGCCCAAAAAAAAAAAAAAATGGAAATGAAATGAAATGTAAATCTGTCATGGCGGTCGCATTGGATTTTCTTGACGTCTTTATATGTAATGGGGAATAAAAGAGTTAAAGAAACTGGGTCGAGATCAGGGCACATACATAGTACTGTAGAAATATCTCATGGCACACCAATTTAATATCACAAAATGTAGTGTCAGTATACTGACATAACAATGATCTCATCTGAATTTACTCACAAATTGGTGACAAAGCTATGATTCAGTTGTGTGTGTTCATGACAGCAGTTGGATGCATTGGTAGACTTCTGCCATCTACTGGAAACGCATCTCATTGTTTTGCCTGTCTCCATACATCGCTGGCATAGATAGATGGAGAAAGAAACATTAGTTCTTCTAAATAAATCAAACATAAATCATCGCTGTTCAGAGGTGTTGCTGTTGTTCAAATCCAAGCACTGGCCTTCCTGTTTGGGAGTGTGCAAATGAGTGCAAATGGTATTTGTGTGAAGCCTTCACGCATGTTATTTTACACCTTCAACTTCATTTTTACAACTTAAATATTCTATTCCTCAAACTTTATTGACATGTTACTCCTTCCACATTTTCCGACCGATTCTAAACATTCCAACTATAACATATTCCAAAAATTCACGCTAAGTGTTCTTACATTTTCACATTCCAAATCATTCCATAATTTTCAATTTAGCCACTCAGCCTTCATACACAATTTCTCTGGAAATTGCATTCGATAGTTTGTCTATACTGTATGTCAAAACAGGCTCTTCCATTCGGCGAGACAGGCAGCTGCTAAGGATGCCATGGACTCTAAGGGGGTGCCAAAATTGGTGGATTTTTTTTTTCAATATAATTTAATTAAAATCAATTGTTCCTAATATTGCTTAACTGGAAGTCAAAAGGAAAGAGGAGTACATGGAAATTAATAGGTGAAATAATTTGAAACCAGGGTTCATGCTCAGGCAGAGCGGTGGCTTACCCGCTGTTCGTCAGCTGCGTTGAATCAAGTCTTGAGTGCCTGAGTTAATTGCTGTACATTTCTAAATTTATGATGGCAGTAGTTGCACTTTGAATGAAAGGGTGTACCCGCCTACCGAAGTCAGCTGGGATAGGCTCCATCTTGCCCATGACCCTCATGAGTATAAAGCGGTTCAGATAATATACAGAGCATTTGACAATAAAGTTCTACTTGACTTGACTTGATAATGGATAGAGATTTCATATGAAAGGGCAATAAGAACATGTAACTACATTAATTATTGAATGTAAAACTAAAAGATTAAAACAGCAGTGAAAAGTTAACCATGAGCAAATACAAGGCTGTCAAAATGTAAATTATGTATATTATGTTTCTATTACTACTTTCACTCTTTTAAAATAACATATTTACTCATGGCGGCATGGTGGGTAACTGGTTAGCACGTCCGCCTCAGAGTGCACAGGGTGTGGGTCTGGCCTTCCTGTGTGGAATTTGCATGTTCTCCCCATGCCTGCGTGGGTTTCCTCCCACGTTCCAAAACTCCGTCCATTGCCATGAACCTCAGCGTGACTCGTTTGTCTATATGTGCCCAACGATTGGCTGATAACCAGTTCTGGATGTACTCCACCTACTGCCCAAAGACAGCTAGGATGGCCTCCAGTCCACCCGCAATCCCAGTGAGGATAAATGGTTCAGAAAATGGATGGATGGATATTTTCTAATGTTAGTTTTACTGTTTTTTCTTAAAGTCCCAGATCAAATTCACATGCAAATTCAATGATTTTGACGATAATCCGTAATGGCAACAAAATCATGGCAGAGTTCGATCGAGGCCAACAGATTGAAAGATGATCGTAAACGGCTTTGGGTCGCGGCACATCCTAAATTGATGACAGTTGGCTTCATCGGTGGCTCTGGCAGTTGCCTATGGCGGGTAACATTTGCTGACTGAAAGTTTCAGAGATGAAGTAGGAACACGACAGTTGTTTGTTTCATGTCTTATGAAATCTTTTTTTCTTAATGTAGACACGTATTTGTAATTGACATGTTGATACTGTATTGCATGTTGATGTTTTTACATTTAGAAAATGAACTACCATTATATTGTACAGATCATTATGACCCTCGAGGTACGTTGTAACGAGGTTCGACAGTATTAGTAATGGAATCCATTACAGGAGACCATTACAAGCATAAGAGGGAGTGGGTAGGGCTGAACACAATGGAAAGGCTTCCATAGGCTCGACACAAAAGTCGTATAAGATGTGAGTGGTTCTCTTTTGTCTTTCTGAGACTGGAAAATAAGAGTAAAAAGTAGCACAAGAACAATGCTGGATTAAAGGCCGCTGTTCCATCTCGACATTGCTTGATGGGCAGGCAAGGTCAACTAAGTTAGCATGAAGTAGCTCTTATTTTGGGATAGCAGGACAGAGCTTCCTTTTGCATTGTTTTTTTTTTCTGTATTGTTGAGCTAAGTGCTGATTTATATGCATATATACGGTATATGATCAGTGTACATGATCATATTGTAGCATGTGTTTATATTTTCCTCTTACTCTTCCTAGTTGTACTGTGAGGTGAGGGCCAAGCGAGAGGGTGCTTGTGGTCATCGGAATGAAGAAGAAATGCCTCGGCTAAGTGTCCGTTCACTGAGCTCTGGTTCCAGTGTGCTCAGTGAGTTGTCGCAGACCCATAGCAGCTGCAGTCAGCCTGAGCCCTCACCTGCCTCTGATCGCTACATCATCGGTGGTGGGGTGAGTGAGAGTCATTCAACCACCTGTTGTCAACCAGACAGACTCGGTGAACTAATTGCAGGTGGTCAGTTTAATCAGAATGAATATGCACACCATGGATTAAGGTTAAGAGACTCCATCCTTGATAAGAAAGATGTTGCCAACACTGCTGAGCTTGAAGGAATTTTCCATCAATCTATTGGATGTGGACAGGCAACAAAACATGCCTCCATTGGGAATGAAAAATGTCTTCATCATGGCATTCAAGAAAGTCCACTGTTGGTCGAGCGGGGTAACGCCAGGGAGAAGAAGAAAAGCATGACTGCTCTCAATGCTGTGAGTGATCAGACGTTACATTTCTTGAATCAACATGAAATTATTTTTCACCAAATGGACAATGGTGTTGGGACACTCGACAGTGACATTTACAAGAAAATTTGAAAATAAGAGTAAGAATAAGAAAACCTTTATTTGTCTCACAATGGAGAAATTCGCAATTCACAGCAGCAAAATTTTGAAGGGAAGAAAGTAGAAAAAGTATTTGCATGCACAAAATAAATTTAAAAAAATGAACTGTACACAGTACAGAATGCAATATAAAATATAATATACAGAGATGAAAATCCTCCGGATTTTCCCGGAATTCCGGGTTTTTCAAATTTTTATGAAAATTTCTCCAGAGAATTGAGGAAAATAAAATAAATAATAAAATTCATCCGGATATTAGTTGACAACATTGAACGAAGACGCGTTTGAGTTCGTTGTATTGCTTTCACGAGCGTAGCCATATTGAGGCACTAACACTAGTAACGGTAAAGAGATTTTTGTTTGTGTAAT